TATATATATATTATTTTTTTTATTTTATTTTTTTTTTAAGGGTGTAACGATACGTATATTAGTATTGAACCGTTCGGTACGAGACTTTCGGTTCGGTACACATTACAAATCGAACGATTAAATTCAGACTAACATCTAAAAAGTTAGTAAGTAAGTAAATAAGTACAAAATATAATGTTTTCAGTGCAGCAACGCTCAACAGGCAACATGCTGCTTTCCCCGCTGTGATGTTAAACAGCAGAACATCGCTTTTGAACTCAGAATATCACTTTATTAAAGCTTGCACTCATTAGCTATCTTGCTGCTTTCTGTGTCAGCCTACTCGTGCTGGCTCCGCCCCCGTTGCCCCAGCAACCCTGGACCCCGACACAAAACAGCCAATCTCAATAACCTGTTCACACATCACCACGCCCGCCCACCTCCAAACACTACTCCAGTCAGGCACGCGCTACACCAGCTTGCAAAATGGCTAGTAACATTAATGTAATCCCAGACATCACAAGTCTCCCTGAATTTTTATATGAGACTCCCAGATGCCTGCAAACGAATGATATCATTCCCCCCCTACCCCCGGGTCCTTAAATACATCTCACAACCCAGCTCTTCAGGTACGTTGGGCACAGCTCACCCCTGCCACTCAGGTACATCGCACTCACACCCCTCCACCGCTCTTCAGATACGTCGTGCACCATCACCAAGACAGTGGTGGAAAACAACATCTGCTAGGACAGTAAGCTATTTTAGCGGTAATATTTTGACTATCCGTGATGTCAGTGTAAATGAGTTGATATGTTTTAAAATTCAAAAACCAAAATCAAAAAGCGGCTGCGTTTCTAAAGTGAAAATCCAATGACCAAAAGATACACTGACTTATTTGAGCATATCAACTCATTTACACTGACATCACGCGATCAGTAACTGGAACAGCATTCAGACAGGCAATTCCTACAGATTCCAGCAGGGCAAAACAAATCACCGAGGTGATCGGCACATTTATAGTTGTGCATATGAGAGGTCTTAGTCAGTAGTGGAAATTTCGGGTTTTAAGAAAATGTTAAATGTAATAGAGCCCCGTTACATTATTCCTCCGTAAGCCCATTTCAGTCTGATAATTCCTGCTTACCGATCCACTGAAATGGCAGGTGACAGTCAAATCAAGCAGATCTGTGCTGTCTGAAGAAAAAGTGGACACTCATTTTTCTGAAAATACAAAAATACTTAAAAATTGATTGAAACTGAGCTCCATATAAAAACTAAATTGTTCTTTTCTTTTTATTTGTTTAACTGCTACAATATTATAATAATTTTTAGTCACACTTTACAATAAGGTTCATTAGTTAATGTTACTTAATGCATTTACTAACATGAACAAACAATGAACAATACATTTACTACAGTATTTGTTCCTGTTAACGTTAGTTAATGAAAATACAGTAGTTCATTGTTAGTTCATGTTAACTCACGGTGCATTAACTAATGTTAACAGGCACAAGTTTGGATGTTAATAATGCATTAGTAAATGTTCAATTATGAGTAATAAATGCTGTACAAGTGTTGTTCATGATTAGTTAATGTTAGTAACTAATGAACCTTATTGTAAAGTGTTACCTAATTTTTTTATAAGCAGCTTTTTAGTTTTGAGTGTAAAGAGGGATTTGTTTTATTTGCTGCTAAGCAGAAACCCCAGAAGCATAGCTCTATCACTGTTTAAAAGAAAAAATAAACAAGATCATACTTGTTAGTTTTAATATATTAGATATCAAATATAATATATTAGAAATCCTCTGGCTTTTTTCTTTTTTTGCTGTATTGAAAACATACCGAACCGTGATTTTTGTGAACTGTTACACCCCTAATATATATATATATATAT